TGTTTATATTATATTGCTCAATGCTATTTTGTTGTTCTTTTTTTTTTCATTTTTCTTATATTGGATTGATTATTTCGTGTGAAATTTCTTATTATTATTTCTTCTTTCGGTGAATGTATATTATTAATTTGTTTCGTGTCATAGACAAAGTTTAAGCTGAAAAAAGTAAAAAGAATATTTGACATTCATCATTTACATTTATTTAAATTCATTGCGTAGATGACGTATATAAAAGAGTCAATCTTTTTCATATATCTGTCAAATAAAGTTAATAATGTATTTTGATTTCCTTTTTCTTCTTCATCAAAAATATCTGTCTGGTCTTATTAAGCATGCCTTATTAGGCACTTTATCTGTCAAAACTAATAATATCTTCAATATTGTAATACTTTATAGCACTATCCATGACTAGTTATTTTTCTATAAGAACACAATTAATTATAACAAAGAAACATAGAATATTAAGTTTATTTTTAGTATACGAATCAGACAACATTAGATTTTATAATTAGATTTTCAAAAGAATATTTGCAGTTGTTTACTTTCATTATAAAATCTTTTTGTAAGAGAAATCTCAGTCTATTCACTATAATTTCCGGTACAAAAATTCCTTACGGAAAGTGAAGATTGATGTCAAAATAAAAACAAAAACAAAAACTATGAATGATTGCGTTTCATAATCTCGATAGAAAATAATGTATATTATATCGATCGAAAGCTGATTATGATGTCCGATCTAATAGCCAACTATTCTATTATTATATTTCATTTGTATTTGCAAAATATAAACTATTTTCTATTAAAAATATGAATCTAAAATAAGCAAAATTGTATTATTAAGTCTTGTATATTAAAGGAAAATTTAGTTATATTATTATTTTAAAACTGAATTATTCGATAAAGAAAATGATAATGAACAATAGTTTCTACGTAGAAGTATTTCTCATATTTTTGGTTTTTACAATCAAATAAAAAAACAATAAGAAGTTATGGTAAAAAAGTGTAGTTCATTTTGAGTAATGTTATTTTGTCGTAGATTCAATCGATATTTCCTTCTATAAAAAGATAATAGATAATAGATAAATGAAAAAACGTTAACTTTGATGATCTTAGATCTTTGTTCATTTTCTATAAAGTGATTAAAAAGAAATAATTTTCTAACTAACAAGAGGTCTATGATAAATATATTATGCTTATATGGCATCCAGTCTATCTTTGTCTTAATGTCACTGATATAAATTTTCACTGCTTGTATAATTAAGTTAAATATTAAATAATCACTTGATACTTAAAAAGTCAATTGATTCTTCGTTATTTTTCTTTCAACAAATAGTTAATTATATTATTAAAATTATATATAGATCGAGTATCGATAGATTTAATCTGTATATTTATAACAGTCGTATATAAATATATGTAAACTATACGCATGTGTGTAAAATTTCTTAATCATTGACTTTTTCTTTTTGCTGATAAGAAATCATATCAATTGTTGTTGAATATTTACTCTAAACAGAAGTATTAAATAAACTAAGAATTGTAAACAATATTATAGTAGTTTTCGCTAATGAATAGTAACATGTTTTCCGTCTTGTACTTATTGTTAATTAATATGGCTGCGACAATGACCAAATTTTTTAGTGAAAATAATGATCATGCTTTAGTCATATTTAAGTCTAACAAAAATGAATAATACACTATTTTTTTGTAAAGAATAATAATAATCATTTTCGAGAACAACTTATGTGCTTTATTTCTATCTCTATCAACTTAATAGAAAATAATAAAATTGAGGGTGTGGGTCTCAGTATGACAGTAACAACTATGTCCACACCCACCCACATCCTAGTCTATACTATTATCTAATGCTTTAGATCTTTACTATGTTACTAGCGTTTTGAAAATAAATTGTTTGAGTTCTTTTGCTTTTAACTTCTTATGGGTGTGTAATTATTCGTTTATTTGAAGGAAATACTTGATTGGCGAACAAGTCGAGAATTCTTTTATTGGAGTTTAAAACGACGTTTAGGAGAAGATCATGCAATCAAAATACTTCTTACCGCTGATTCTTCATTAGATTATCATAAAGTATTAAATTATCTACAACAATGGTTCAACGAAGATAAAAAAAGATACTGTAAAATAATTCAAACTTATTTCTTTATTTGTTTATAAAATAATTCTATATGATAGTGTCTTCAATGGACAAATGATAAGGAAGTTGTTCAATGGCTTGACGAATTTAATGAATCTTCATTAATAAATGATCGTATAACAAATTTACAAAAAGAAAATGCTCGTCAAAAAATCTATCGGTATATATATTGTTTTCATTAATAATTCAAGAAATATATTTTCTTATATTTAAAGATTACTTGAAATGCATCCTGATCTTCTATCGGATATAAATAAACATTTAAATGACGAACAACGTCAAGCAATCAATCGAAACTTGAATAGTAAAACAAAAAATTAGTAATAATCATCGTCAATATCACAATATGTAATATTTCCATTTAGTACTTTCCTATATACTTTAATATATCAATCATTAGATATTATTAAGAAGAAAAAAAAGTTGTCAATCTATATTTATAGATTTTATTTTATTTTATTTGTTTTTAGTGAAAGAAAGCATCTTTGTATTGTTTTCTTCAGTATTTATTGATGAACATAACATTCATTGATTGTTATTATTTTGATGTTGCTCTTTTGTTTTTATCTTGATCGCAAAAAAATATAAAATAAAAAAAATATCTTTTAAATTAATTAAGTCATAAGTCATATTTATTATTTGTAATTGTTCATGATGTCAACAAAATAAACACCGTACTCTCTTATAACTGTAACTTGCGTTATAAACATAGTTATCTCTATATTGCAAATGTTGTTTAGTCTATAATATTCTCAATCAACTTTATTACATATAAGTAAAAGATGTCAATACTAGAAAAAAATTTAACAGTGAAAAGATTTTTTCACAACTTATTCAAACACATATCTTCCTCTTACTTGTATTATAAAGAGAGAATCTTAAACAAAACTCTATAAGTAATTTATTTAAAGTATTTCCCTTCAAAACATCTGAATGAATATTGAAAACTTTCCTATTTCATATAATGAATGTAATTTTGAAACAGTCACAATAACTAATATACAGTCATAAGTTAATCTGTTTTACTAAAATACTTTTTTGAATGAACTTTATAAAGAGAATTGCGAGTTGTTTTTGAAAGAAAAACTAACTTTTTTTGTGTTTTTTCTAACATATAATTACAACATCATGTGAAATCAATCGAAAGAGAAAAAAAATAACAGCATACTATATTGTCAACATATAAAGCTCTATAGCACACATTTCAGCAACAATCTTCAGTAGCAAATCAAACTATCGCTACCTTCTTTACACTAACGGTAGAACTCGTCTACCGTATTCTAGATCATCAATCAGGTGGGTGTGGGTGTGGCTCCAAGTCTAGAAGGGATTTAATACTTTCACTCACACCCACACCCTTAAGATGGTGATATTAATTACTTGATTAATTTCTTTACTATTTCATGTGCAACAATTCTTGAAAAAACGTTTATCTTTTGTAGGTCGATTCGGAGAAATCAATCAAATTCCATATAATCTCATTTTCGTTATCTATATATATATATATATATCACAGAATGTTGGCAATAGCGAAAGAACTACTAAAGGAAAGAAGTTGATATATAAATATGATGTAAAATATAAGAAAAAAATAACACAAGAAAAATGAAACTTATTTTCCAAGAATATCTAGCAGAAACAACATTTAATAATCAATTTATTTTTCCATATTATGATCATTATCGAATTAGTAAATATATTAAACTAACACAACAAAATAATTATGCTTCTAATCATTGATTTGAAATTCTTGTATAAGTAAAACTGTTTCTAAAACATGAAGAAGTGGTTATTGAGAATATGAAAGTGGCTATGGGCCTAGAATGGATTTAACATTCACACCCACTGATACAACATTTGTGTCAAAAATAAAAAGATAATTTAATACGTACTTTTTCTTAAAACTTTATCTTATTCAATGTGATGAAACGAAGAGAGATTCATGACTATAAAGATAATTTATTAGTTAAGAAATAAAAATGAGATATTAGTATAAAGTAGAATAATATGAGATTAGTAAGTAAGGACAAAAATAAAAAGTATGATTAGTTGAAAAAAGAAAAAGTGTTTCTATTGTTCAGTTAAAATTTGATTTCAGGTGGCAGGCACATCTGTTATTGTCTTCTTTCGAAATACAACTCGCCAATATTGTGAACGTCCTTGACTCATGTCTTCATAGATTTGAGTACTGGGTAATCCAGCAAACAGACGAAAATATTCTTGTTCTTCAAGTTGAATATAACGTTCAATGAAATCAGTACGAGATTTATTTTGAATGTCAAGTGCATGAAGAACATTCTTTGTAATATTAATCTTTTCTTCAATAATTAATTCATCATTTGGTATCAGGTCGTAAATTGATGTATCTGATCCACTCACGTAACAAAAATCACACCATAGAAGATATCCATTTGGACGAAGTACACGAATGACTTCATTAGCGAATTGTGTGATTGCTATTGGTTCGCCAAAAGCATGTGTTGCTTCGATGCAAAGAATAATATCAATAGATTCATTTTCAAATGGTAAATGTTTTGTTGCATCAGCTACCACGAATAAAAGTCGAGGAGTTGTCGAATAAACTCGTTGACATAAGTTAATGATATCTTGAGAAGAATCTATTCCAATGTAAGAGTAAGGTGCATGATTCTGAACACACCATGCAGCACCAGCACCTCTACCACAATTGATTTCAAGGACGTTCTGATCTGTTAATGTCACATTTGCAAGAACCTAGAAAATAAAACAAAATATTTCAATCATGGCTTGTGTATCGGAAAAGTCATAAAATTTTCGATTTTTCTTTGTGTATCAACTCGATTATATGTAAATAGGTTGATTCGGATGATTTTCTTTTCATATTTAGAGTGTATAGCATCTAATAAGACAATCTTATATTCATATCCATACAGATTCCTTATAAATTAAAGACAATGATAACTTCTGTTGACAATGGATGCGAGGTAGGACAAAAAAGAAACACTAAAGTCTTGTATTCTTTTCTACATACCTGTTCATAAAGCTTTCTTGAATAATAGCCAGTATGATCATCAATATATTCATCCATATCTGCATAGCCATGATTCATAAATTGTAATTCATTTACATTCGTATAGATGCTTGCAATTCGTTCGTACCAGAGAAACAATTTGTTAGTTGTCTCGTATCCTTGTTGATATTTTACTAGATTGTCATGAACTATTGTTGGCCGAGATAATCTTGCTTTTACTGTGTAAGATTCTATAAGAAAGAGATTTAATATAATAAAACAATAAATGAATTCATTTGCAGCAATTCGAAGTAAGCAGTCTAACTTCAAACGGAGCTATATTAAAGAATAAGATATCAGAATACAGATATGACAAAACGTAAGATAAACATAAAAAGATGTAAGATTTTTGTGTTCATTTCGAAAATAGTGTGAATGCACAATCTTATCAAGATGTTTGATGTATAGTTTTTTAATTTTTCAGTCTAATTATAAAACTAGTTAATTTAAGTAGAATTTAAAACATAAGAAATCCGGTACTTTATCGTATCTTTGTATCATATATTTCAGAAAAATATTGATTGTAAATTGGTTCTGTGTCACAAACTATTATTTATTAATATGAAATGATAATTTTAAACTGATCTGATACTAGTACGAGACGCTTATGAATGATTACAAGTTGAAACTGACAAAAAGATTTAATTGAATTCCATATTAACAAAAGAATACGATAAAAAATACATTCGATGTAAAGTATATCATATGTTATGGTCACTGGAATAGTTTTAGAAAAAATATAGTATCAGTGTAAAAGAATATTACTCAAATGATTTTTATCATGGCTTGCCAACAGAAGATCTAGAAAATGTTATACTCAATTAAGCTTCTTCTATGAGAACTATTATATAAGCATTTCGAAGAACAGTATATCTCACTAAAAAGAAACGATAGGATATGAAAAAATGAACATTAATAATGATTAGACAGTATCTTGGAAGTGTTATATAAGAGTAAATTATCTGTGTGAGTGACTTACGTGCAGGAACTCCTTTCCAGTGAGTATTCGGTGGTAATTGATCATTTTTCATTATCAATGTCAAGGGATAAAGACGATTGTTACCCATTAGTTTGCAACCTGGCATTACAATTGAGTGACTCATCAGTATACATGAATTACCGATTGATACAGGAGCTAATTTTAAAATACGTTGTTCGAAACTGTGACCCTGAAAAGATTTAAAAAAAACAATTTTATGTGGAAGTAAATAACAAAAAACTTATGTATTACTTGTATCTGTGTACGCACATGAACTCGGACATTATCTCCAATAGTCATCAAAGGATAATCAGTAATACTGGATACATCAGGCATTATGACATTCTCACCAATATCAGCACCATATGCTCGACATAGTCGAACCAGCCATTGCGTATTGCCAAGAAATGGACAAATAAATTGTTCATGATCTGGAATCACTCTTGCTATTATTTGTTGTACAATTTCATGGCGCTTATTTGAAAGACATCGACAAAGGCCACAGACAAGTATTGCATGAATGATTGATCCACTAACAAGACCACCAAACGAATAAATGCTTAATAAAAGACATTTACTGACATAATGAGACAAACATGTATGCCAAAATGGTATGATTTCGATCTGATCTTGGTTTTGTGGCGTTACAGGCATCTGAAATGGCATTGTACGAGCTGGAACACCCATGAAAACTTCTCCGTATTTGCTTTTTGTGTCTCGTGAGATGCGTGTTAAATTGCCAATCATTGTCTCAGATGCAAGGCAACTGCCAGGCAATATTGAGCATCCATTCCCAAGGTTTGTATGGGATCCAAGCAGTATTTGATCTACACGATGATCACCTGACAGTGTCAACTCAGTAGGAACTATTGAAACTCCACCAAATGTAGTGACACCTGTTTCAATTTTCAATAGATTTGTTGGATAGGATAGAAAAGTGTCTATCTCAGCGAGTTTGACATTCTCTTCGATATCAGCACCTAACCAACGAAGAACATGAGGATAAAGATAATCGTATCCAGTCGATAATAGCCAAGCATGATGAAAACTAGATACAATTAATTGACGAAGCCATATTTTTTGTAAATATAACCTAGATGCTATCGGATATATAGCACCAACAGTACATGGACCTACTATGAATTTCAATAGGAGAAGCGAAATTAAACAACCAATAATTGACCACAAAGTCCAACAAAAAGCAATACTGATTGGTAGTGGTATTTGTCCAACTGAATAAACTTTATAGACGAGGATTAAAAGTGTACAATTTAAACCGATGATTGAGAAAAG